ACCTGATGCTTTGTGGCTTGTGACTACAGAGTCAACAGGTCAAAGGAGCAGACACGTGACAATACAAAAACATTTTAGAAWTACTTAAACTAAACCCCTTTACATAACAAGTGTCACCTTAATTTTACATTTCATGAAGAAATRTGTTGGTAATTTATGATGGAAGTGGAGTGTTCAGGCTTCAAAAAGGATTTTTACTGTTACATCTTTTTTTTGCTTCCTCCATGATTTATTATTATTATTTATTTATTTATTTTTGTGCGTGTGTGTGTGTATAGAAGCTCATAGTCTTCTCAGGCTTTGGCCAAAGACAGAGCAGTGTATTGTAATAAGATAAGAGGACAGGTGGCCAAGTGATCAGGTGCCAGACTGCCTGCTTTGCTGCTTTAGATCCAGGCTGAAACCTACTGCGTGGATATTATAAATATCTTCTTTTTCTCCAAACTCTGCCATAAAAACAGTCCAAGTGTTGCACAAGTGAAATGTTTTCTCAGTTCCTACAGTTATTCATTTATGCTAGAAATAAAAAAAAATCACCCAAACTATCTCAGGATTCAATCAGAAGCACCTGCTGTAAAAAAACAAACTGAAACTAATGTTCCCTGCTCCAAACAGTACATGTAAAAAAAGACATTGTTCAATTAAAAAATATATTCTTTCAAAAAGGTTTTCAGATTTAGGATTCATTTTTGTTCATATTTAATGCCTCTTTTTACGAATCTAGTGAAAGAACAGCCATTAGGTAATCAGTTACAATGAAAACTTACTTCTAAGTTAAAAATCTAAAGTGTTTCTTACCTTGCAGCTGTTTAAATCGTCCTTCCAAGATATTAGAGTATTGTACTTGGTTAACAAAAGCTGCTGGGGACAAGCAGGGCTCACGGTCGGTGTGGTCCCACTCCATCGCAGTTTTTCTAAATCTCTCAACTAAATATTACCGGTACAAGCGGGAACGAGGGGAGTTTTCCTACATAGCACAGCAGGCAGAACAGGAATGAATCAAATCCTCTGAAGAGTTCCCCAAAAGTTGGGGTTTGTACATCCACAATCCCTTGCTTTATCCTTCTCTTTTAAATTTCCTGTTCTTCAGTTTAAGGCACAAGACGAGCTCAGCTGTATGTCCAACCAGGTTCAATGAAAAAAAACAGCAGTAGGTGATGAAAATGGAACAGTTTCCTTTTCTCTAATCAAAAAAATGTTTTAAAGAAATCCAAGGAACAAAATGTACTCCTTTTTTGTTCATTTCACCACACTWATGGCCTCTGGGCGAAGTAAAACTCTTCAGTTGCACTCCCTTGTGGCTTTTTCAAAACAACCAAGAGTATTCCTTTCCCTCCAAATTCTGAGCATGCAATAGTTGAAGCACAGCCCTGCAGAGTGAGTCAACCAGCCACAGCCAGATAGCTGTGTAAACAAAGCCTTCTGTGCAGTCTGAAATTTGTGGCATTTGCATAAGGTGTGTTTGAGGGAGGAGCAAAACGCAAGAACATCTCAAATGGGTGAAGGGAGGGAGGAGCTGCAGAGATGGACTAAACCATTAGAGTTTTTATACAGTGTACCTTGAAGTGGATTATCCGACTCCAGTTTAATTCCAGTAACCAGGGTGTGGCCTGCCTGAAAGTGCATCACAAAATTCCCAGTCCGTTAGCACAATGTTATCACCAGGTAGTTATCTTCTTTTTTCTGTCACTCTGTACACTGCATTTTACCTCCCCGTTTCTGTACACTGAAACTGACTCAAGAAAAGGCGTTAAGACAGGAAGGAAGTTATTGAGAAAGTAGAAACACAACAAGTACTTTCCTGCCTGGTGAGATTTGAAAGCGACAACTTGTGACTGTTTTAACAGTTAGGTGGGGTGAAAGTGAGTGTCTTTATTCACCCACCAAAACATAATGTTTGAATCAMAACATGTTTTCTGGAAATTGTGCCAGCAAACGTTTAAAAATTTTAATGTGGAGTTTCTTTTTTAAGTTTACACACTGTTAAAACATAATCAGAGATGAGATTTATTATAAATAAATTCAGAAACTGTGAGGAAAAGTCATTGATTAATAGACAGAGGACAGTAACACTGTGAGGACTAAGGTCAAAGCCTCTCTTCTAAGTCGATGACTTTTTGATCTGGTCAGGGGAGAGGGCAAAAGTCTTATTTTCAGATCTATGTTTGTTCTGATAAACTGGCTGCAGCTGGATGGTTCTCATTAAGATCCAAATGCTCCAGGCCCTTTTGTGACAGGGTGTTTATGGAGGGGGACTGGGCTAATGAGAAGCGAAGAGGACAGGCTTCCTTCTGAAGAAAAGAAGCTACGCTATGGACACATGCAGAGAGAAAACCCAGTAATCACAGCAATGCCCGTTTTGTATCCCAAGAGGGATATATCAAACACGCTTCACACGGAGGCACAGATGTGGCAGCAGGTCTGTGTGTCTGCCATATGCTTCTTTACATAGTCAGAAATGGAGTTTCTGAGATTTAACACCCATCGGCCCTTTTGGAATAAGATTTATTACAACTTAATATATTTTGTATTAAAACAGAAAAAAAAATGGAAAACAAGCTTTTGCGATGGGCACTGGAATGAATGAAAATTAAAGAGTAAGCATGTTGTGAGTAGTTAAGTACTGTGAATGAACCCAGATGAGGAAGAGGAAAGATTTAAAAAAAAAAAAAGCTGGAGGAGTAAACACTACCAGAAACGGGAGGAAAAAAATGTACATATCTAAGCTTCTACATTTTTTCAATAAACTGAACAACCCCCCTTCAAAAGCCTCATGGGAAGATAAAAAGGTTGGACCTAACAATGTCAGTAAATATCTGGTGTGAATCAACCGTACGTGTTACAAGGGTTTAGAAACATTGGCAATGTGTGAATTAAACAATGAAAAATGACTTTTTTGTGTTGAAGACAAATATTAAGATCTAAAAAAATGTGGTTTTGTCCAAAAAATTAAAACCTCCTCATACAAATGCAGGAGTGCATAACAGGGTATTGCTGAAAAAAAAAATGCAAAATGTTAAGCATGTGCTACACACACACACACACACACACACGCAAGTAGATAATCCGTTATCAATGCAAATTAGAAAGGAGAGTCTTAGCTACAGACTAACTGGAGCCAACAGCCATCACAAAATGATCCAACATATTAGATGTGCAGGAGACAAACTTGGAAATAGTTGTGAGGTAAAAAAGCAGASATTGTTCTGAGAGCAGAGCGCTGCTGGTTGCAGAATGCCTCAATACTGGGGGTTGTAAAAAGGTGCGCAGAAGTTGAGCCTTTGGGAAATAGTTGCTAAAGAATGTGCACATCAAGTCCACACATGTTGGACTCAGAGGGTATCACAGGCATTCTTACACTGCCAAGCTCACACTGGAGTTTTTAAAACACACACACACACACACACACACACACGCGCGCGCGCGCACACGCATGCTCTACTTTGGTAACACTCAGGCAAATTGGATCACACCATATATTGGAGCAAAGTCCAACATTCCAGATACAAATTACAATATGTTTAAGTACAATAAAATGTGTGTGTTGGTAAAATAAAAGCAAAATCTGACATATTATCACAAAAAAAATGGAGTGAAATTAATTGGACTTTATTTGTAAATTAATATATAAATAAAATGCATAATCATTGCAGTTTCAGATTTTTTTTCTGTGTATATTTCTGGATATCTGTTCAGTGTGTTGTGGTACCCCTCCACTGTCCCCCTCTGCTGGGTTTTCCATGAAACTGCAACTTGTTTGGACTATTAGAGCTTTTGACTGTGTGATTTAAAACCAGGTGTCTGACGGGGTAGTTTGAGACATATATGCACCAAAGACAACCAAACTAATAAAAATCATCAAACTTCAAGATTACCTTAAATCTGACAGGCAAGAATTTATGTAGTTCGTTAAAATGCCGGTAATATCCATGTTAGATCAGCTGTTACTAAAATTAATATTAGTCAGCAATGCTGTCATAAAATGAATGCTAATGATACATTAATATGTCATTGCTCAGATACTTACAGGTTTACATGTTAAGTAAACTTGTTAACCTGACTGAAGTTACTCCTTTGTGAACCAACTGCACAGCTGCCCAGCTTTGTCCCCTTTTTGGAGGTATTTTGGTCTTGTCCTAAAAAGACAGACTCGGTTCTTCAGGGACACAAAAGAATCACTTCTGTTCCCCAGTCTACATACTATAATTAGATTTTTGCACATTACTGGTAGATATCGGACTATGTCTCGACTGGCGTGTTTCTAAAACCTCTGCTGCTCATCTCAAAAACATAAAAACCGTGTTTAACGATTATGAAATATCCAAGTCAAACCATTTAGGAAATCAGGTATTTTGTGTACATTTATGAGAAGAACTAGTAAAGAAATGAAAAGTTTACAAAATATGAGAATAATACAATAACCCTTAAAATGGTCAATTTCTAAAACGGCAGCATTAACTACAACATACAAATGATTAAAGAGCTTGATCAAAATATCTGACAGTGTTTAGAATGAGAAGGCAATTAGGGATTCAGACGACGTTAAAAACTCCAGAATTGGTGTTTACTACTTCTGCCTCGTCAGAATAATAACACAAAAACGGTTTAAAAAGGACCCATGTTAGCATTGTTTTATATCCACACAGCTGAGGGATAAAGTGACTTGTAAAACCAGCTTCCTGGCATTTACAAGAACCTCACTYACACTTCCAACTGGCCTCACTAGTTTGTCAAACAAACAAAGGCTCTCATCCCCCAACCCCAGCCTTTATGAGAATTGATCACATCTGTGAGAACAAAGTCCAATCAAGAGAAACCCATTCCACGTCTCCCAGGGTTTTAACAAAGCTAACGTACTAATAGCAGACATACACCCCAGGACATCCACAGATGTTCCTCGTCTCTGTCTAGACGCATCAGAAAATGCCTTGGTTATAAAATAACGGCCTATTCAACATTAGACAGGTGATCACATTCATAGCTGTTTGTGCAAYACGTACCTGCAAGAGCTTTAATGCGAGAGCGCTCAAAGAGACGTGCCGAACTGTTCTCATTGTCCCAGTCCGTCTCGGCTGCCAGGTCCCAGCGATTGTTGATGTCGTTATACTGCTGCTGGATCTCCATGCTGTCGAAGTCGGTCGGCGAGAGTGTGCTCATGGTGTCGAGGCTTGGGGCAAACACATTCAACCTATAAAAGCAGAAAAAGATACCCAAAAGCATCCAAGGTCAGTGATAAGAAGAAATACCGAGACACAAGAAAGCTCACAAAAGTGGCTCTTGATTTACTCTAGCCATATTCAACTCTACGCTCAAGGTTGAAAGAAAATAAAGAGGATATCATGATCAAACACTCTTCACACAACTAAGCTGAACGTTCTAGTTATATGACAGGTGAATGCAAATTAAAGCTTGGACAGTTGCCAACGGCCACCATGTAAAACATGAAYGTTGAGATAAAGTTAAGCAACCGCCACTTGGTTAGTCCATTTATTAAATATTTTATGTAAATGCTTCTGCAGACCGGAGCAACACTAGAAATACCATTTTGCTTGCAGAACAACCTATGATTATGCACTTTTTGACCAACAGTGCCCATAATTTACAGAAGCTGGGCCATTTTCAGCGAGGTGAAACCTGCCCTGAAGTGGTTCTGTTCCATTTACACWAGGTCTAAAAGGTACAGGATAGATTAGGCTAATGAAGTCTGTTGAAGTGTGCCACACCTCCCTCATGATTTTCCCCAGTGTGGAAGCTGCTACTGATCAGATAGCAACAGCGCTCCCTCATCCAGAGCAGAAAAACGTGTGGCAGGGTGCAACTATTTGCAGAAAGAAAACTATTTTAATGTATTGCCACAAGCTGTGACGTACGTCTATTTGTCTCTTAAAACCAGCTTGCTGTAAAATAATTGCACACTTTTCATTACTGGAGCTTCAGCTTTTACCCTACAAACCAAGTGATACAAAACAGACATCTTCCAACAACTAAAAAGAAAAGCACTTGGTAAATCCCATTAGGGGTAGATTAAGAGGTGGCTTGGAATAGAAACTAAATGCAGGGATTAAAGAGGACGGCAAAAAAAATAAAAAAACACCACCTACATGTACCCCCACCCCTACTGACCTATAGCCTCTCCACTTGCACCCCACTGAGTTAGACTGTGTTATACTAATACAGCAAGACAAATACTGATGAATACTTTTGAATTCATGTGTTTCTGAATTATTACATCAAAACGGCCAACTTAAAATTTAGACAAATGGGACATTTTTTTTCTAACAAGCAAATATTTCTAATTGAAAACAGGGGTTACAAAGAAAAATGTTCTTTATGATGATCTGTTTGCGGGAGTGTTTCAGTGTGGGGGTTGCTGGGGAGTGGCACTRGTGAGGTCACGGGTGTCTAGAAATGGCAATCCTCCCCCGTTATGGGTAGGAAGAGGCTCGGCTCAGTGTCTCCTCTAATCACTCTTCAATGGATCAGACAAACAATCCTCTGACCTACTATGATACTAAACTCATCCTCACAAACACAATGCGGTGTGGCACACAAAAATAAGCCACGCACGCAAGTCRAGTTCACCGATTAAACGCTTTTACACACACTTACATCCACCCACTCGGCACGTAAGCAATGTAGCGTATTAGTATGGATCTGGTCAACATGTTTGTCATAGTARTTTGCATGATGTCTTTCCAAAATCCAATAAAAATTAAATYCTTGATAAGACAGTTTGAGAAGCTTCTTGAGCACAATTTCTTAAACGCATTTAGCAACACACTTCTCAAATACACAGATAATAAAAAAGGTGTAAGACAGATGAGCAGCAGATGTGGCACAGAAAGAAGCATAAAAACAGATTTATGACTGATAAACCCCTTAAAGTCCTAATCCTTTCAAAAAACAAAACAAAAAAAGTGACAGACGCTTTGAAAAAATGTCAGTGAACATATGGATCAGTATTAAATATGAACTTATTTTTGTTAAAATGAGGTGCTTTGTGAACAGAATGAAAAAGCAGCACAAGTTGTGAAACAGGTTCAAGTTAGGTAACAAGTTGAGCATTTGTATTCCTGAAAACTACCCCTTTCAAACGTGATAATTCAAAGTAGAGGTGCAACACATAATGGTGTGCGGTGTGTACACAATTAGAGCACACTGGAATGGCTCAAGGTTGAACCCCAGCTCCTGGCTGCAGAGGCACATTGGACCATCTCTCAGCAGAATGTCATCGGTCAARAAAACAGGGCAGAGCCAGAGGCATGACAGGCTGCACCACCACCTCTTTTTTTTGTGACTCTGTGATCCCTCCTCCCCTCCCAGAGCTGCTTCCCTTTGCCCAGCTGGTCTGTTTGTCACTGCACCCAATAATCAGGGAGAGAGGAAAAGAAACAGAGCCCATAATCAGACACCCGCAGGGAATTAGGCCTGTGCACATTAGCCTGCCACACTGTCAACATGCACCATGGGAATACGGTTGATGCACACACAGAAATGCACATACAAATACAACACCACTCCCTGTAGAACAGTGAAAAGGAGCTGGAGATCTTCCTGTGCAACCACATAAAAGCCACAGTAAAGTGTTTCTATCCAAAATACACTTAAGTAATGGGCTTTTTAGATATATACATTTAACTTATCAATGTTTCTTTGAGAAAACAAGCAAAATTCTAATAATTGATGAAAATAAACTGTGTACACAAATCCACCCRTGTGACACACAACGTGGAGTGTAGAAAGATGAACTCCAAAGTGCAGCATACAAAGACTGCCACACTCAACTGGCCCCACACAATGAAGGAGTCAGCACAGAGCTGAGGCCAGCTGTCCAAGCCTTTCCTATTTGTTGAGATGAGGCAGCCAGAGGCACATATGCATCAGAGGCCCCTCCACGGGCTGTTGATCCCAGCCTCTGTCCTGCTGAATAGGACAGCAGAGGCCCTTTGTTGACCTGTAGCATCACATTTATCTAACACTCAGCTGACCTGTGTGTCCTACACACTGCGTGCTCAACAACAAACTAACATGCATCTAACATGTTTTCAATGCAACATCTGATTCAAGCGTACCTGTATTTAATTTCTTTTTAAAACCAGATTTATAGTTTTTTTTTATTTAAAATAAAGAACAGATGAAATTCGGCACCACTGTGCTGTGATGAAAAATAAAAGGACTTTGTGGCACACATGCTCTTACAATTTAATTGCTAGTCTTGCCATAACTTCTAACACAGATTGGGATCTTGCTTGTAAATTTCAAGATAATGGTGATGCAGTCCTATAGCAAGRACTAATAATAGCTGTGAGAAGTGGCAAAATAATTATAGTGCTGCCTACTGTTCCTCCCACACTGGTACTGCTCCTGAATGAGGCCTGATCTGTGCTTCCCAATACATTTGACTGGATAGCACAGATGACAGCWACTTCTGAGGCTGCCAGAAATTAAAAATACCAGTGAATGAAATATTTATGCAGATCATGTTCATCTTCAATCTGCTTTTTACCATTTTAAAACCACACAAGACCGACTGTATTAGTATCAAGCATGTACTGTATGTAGTGAAGCTGCATAGTGTACTGCGATTCTTGGAACAATTGGTGATGAAAGCAGTTTCAATTAATTGCAGTGAGTAATTACTTTTTTTTTTATCCTATTCACGTATGGGAATAGGTTATTTTGAATGCAACCCTTTTATTTATTGGRCACTACATATTCAGTGAAATTATTGTTGAATCAGTGACAACCTCTTTTCTTTTTAGCATTTTAGCACACACCTTTGGCAGATTTCTTTTTCCCCCTTTGGTATGAATGCGATTCTGCCACATGGAGATGACATCAATGAAAGGAACGGTGTGCAAAAAGACTGTGTGGAAAATACCAACTCTAAGAGCACCGTGGGGGCTGGTATTTGTCAGTAATAAGCACTAGAGACAGAATAAATGAGCTGAACCTGTTTTACAAAGCGACTCAGCATTTTCTTTACCTAACTCCAGTCCAGTTCAGAACACATACTAATTAAAMCCAGTTTCCCAGCACATTTCTGCAGCCTCATTTCACACTTAGTCATGATGAACCTTAACAGCCTCATCAACACACCACCATTTTTTTTTTAAAATCTGAAGCCTCCTTCGCCTTCTGTCCCAGCTGTCTGTCCGTCCAGCAGAAAAGGCAGCTGGAAAAACTGAGACTAGACTGAAGAGTCCAGATGGTGTCAGGCCTCGGGGTAGTGTAAACCTGAAGGTGTAATTTTAAAACACCTCTTTAAACTAAAGCCTGACATGAGAAATGTCCAGTTCTGAGAAATATGTGCTGCTTTGGTTTAGCCTCCTGAGACCCAGTTCATTTTGTTTTGCTTGTCTCTCTCATACTACATATGCCACCAAACAAACTGCTGATGTTTCTTAGAGAGGATGAATGTGGCTTTAAAAGGATGCCACATGTGTGGGGGTCTGATCTTCCCAAGTTGTTTTTACCCACCACCTTTTCAAAATGTCTGACATCCCAAAAAACTCTTAATGGAYGAAAGAAATACGAGCATATTTATATTTACAATCTGTTTTAATTTTATAATACATTAATTTTCCAAAAATAACTTTCTAATAAGTAATTAAAGTGAGTTTTCAGAATTTCTTTAGTTTTACAAAGAAAATTATTAATTTATTAATGTGTACTATTGCGCATATGACTTTGCACTTCTGTTTATTTCATTTCTAGAAGACAGCTCTTTCACAAAAGCAAAGAAATTAGTTTCAAACTTTCAGACACAGATTAGAGTTCAATGAGCCTGACAGGAAAGTGTAGGAATTAGGAACTAGACAAGGACGACCAAGATGCAGGGCTAGATGTAGTGTTTTGTTGTTCCTGGGCCGCAGGAGGATAAGACATAAAACAAACCCTCATCCATCTGCACTAAACTATACCAATTACTTAAACATCCCACAACTAAAAATATACACTCACCGGCCACTTTATTAGGTACACCTGTCCAACTGCTCGTTAACACTTAATTTCTAATCAGCCAATCACATGGCGGCAMCTCAGTGCATTTAGGCATGTAGACATGGTCAAGACAATCTCCTGCAGTTCAAACCGAGCATCAGTATGGGGAAGAAAGGTGATTTGAGTGCCTTTGAAYGTGGCATGGTTGTTGGTGCCAGAAGGGCTGGTCTGAGTATTTCAGAAACT